ATTTACATGTTTCTGTTTGAAACCCAAGTTTTGTTTTTTTTAAAAAATCACTGAAAGAGGGATCACAATGATAAACAATAAGGGTGATAATGTGTCAACCTGGAAGATGCATCTCCTAATGTTGACAAGGCCATTTTTTTTTGTTTGACATCACCAATTCTGTCTTCTACTACTTCATTAATTTTTCTATAAACATTGTCGTGTTTTTACTAACCTCATTTGCTTCAAAACTTTTGATGATGATCCAAGTAGTTGGTAATGAATCAAATATCTTTTTACATAGAGCATATGTAAATTGTTTTTTTGGCTTTGCCAATTGTCCAAAACTATTTTATCATTTGGAAGTTTTGTACTCCTGTTTTAGATTTAGATATTTTTAATCTAATCATAACTATTTTGAAAAATAATTTGAAATGCTGATCATACTAACTACTCCCTCCCCTCCTGTTTTATATGTTATATTGTTTTAAACAGTCTTGAATGTTGTCTGCTATTATACTCATGAATAATTTAAATATTGTAGGCAAGCATGTTATCAAACTTTAGTTTCTTGGTATTGCTAATTTCACTTGGTGATTTTGAATTAGATAAGTTTTTCTAGTTATTAAACAGTTGCTGAGGTATCCTTTATACAATATTTCATTAAGCTGTTTGGCTATAATTAGATGTAATCTAATCAGATATTTGAGCAAAAAGCCATGCAATTGATCATTTCCAGGAGATGTTCAATTTTTATTCCTTTAACTCAATTTTTAACCATTTCTACTTTTACTGTTAGTTCTTCCATCTGCTTTTTACTAAATTCATCTTGAAATTCTTTATTCATCCAGTATTTTTATTATAGTCTATTTGAATATCCAATAGATATTTCCAAAATATTGAAAAAGAAAAGTTGGAACTTTGACATATTGTTATATTTAAAAATTAAAATTTGAGAAAAATAGTCTAAATACATACAGTATATCTTTCATTTAGTCAAAACAAACTGAAAACTGAAACATAAAGGTCCACAAACAGCATATGCAAATAGATAGATGATAGATAAGTGGACAGACAGACAGAGAGACAATATTTTCATGTTTTCATCCCTGATTTTGACCATATCATCCTTTTTATCCATACAGTCAGGTCCAGAAATATTGGGACAGCGACACAATTCTAACATCTCTGGATCTATACACCACCACAATGGAGTTGGAATGAAACAAACACAATGTGCGTTAACTGCAGACTGTCAGCTTTAATTTGAGGGTATGTACATCCAACTCAGGTGAACGGTGTAGGACTTACAGCAGTTTGCATATGTGCCTCCCACTTGTTAAGGGACCAAAAGTAATGGGACAATTGGCTTCTCAGCTGTTCCATGGCCAGGTGTGTGATATTCCCTCATTACCCCAATTACAATATGCAGATAAAAGGCCCAGAGTTCATTTCAAGTGTGCTATTCGTATTTGGAATCTATTGCTGTCAACTCTCAAGATGAGATCCAAAGAGCTGTCACTATCCGTGAAGCAAGCCATCATTAGGCTGAAGAAACAAAACAAACCCATCAGAGAGATAGCAAGAACATTAGGGGTGGCCAAAACAACTGTTTGAAACATTCTCAAAAAGAAGGAATGCACCGGTGAGCTCAGCAACACCAAAAGACCTGGGAGACGACGGAAAACAAGTGTGGTGGATGACCGAAGAATTCTTTCCCTGGTGAAGAAAACACCCTTCACAACAGTTGGCCAGATCAAGAACACTTTCCAGGAGGTAGGTGTATGTGTGTTGAAGTCAACAATCAAGGGAAGACTTCACCAGAGTGAATACAGAGGGTTCACCACAAGATGTAAACCATTAGTGAGCCTCAAAAACAGGAAGGCCAGATTAGAGTTTGCAAAACAACATCTAACAAAGCCTTCACAGTTCTGGAACAAGATCCTATGGACAGTTGAGACCAAGACCAAGTGATGGGAAGAGAAGAGTATGGAGAAGGAAAGGAATTGCTCATGATCCTAAGCATACCACCTCATCAGTGAAGCATGGTGGTGGTAGTGTCATGGAGTGGGCATGTATGGCTGCCAATGGAACTGGTTCTCTTGTATTTATTGATGATGTGACTGCTGACAAAAGCAGCAGGATGAATTCTGAAGTGTTTCGGGCAATATTATCTGCTTACATTCAGCCAAATGCTGCAGAACTCATTGAACGGCGCTTCACAGTGCAGATGGACAATGACCCAAAGCATACTGCAAAAGCAACCAAAGAGGTTTTGAAGGGACAGAAGTGGAATGTTATGCAATGGCCAAGTCAATCACCTGACCTGAATCCCATTGAGCATGCATTTCACTTGCTGAAGACAAAACTGAAGGGAAAATGCCCCAAGAACAAGCAGGAACTGAAGACAGTTGCAGTAGAGGCCTGGCAGAGCATCACCAGGGGTGAAACCCAGCGTCTGGTGATGTCTATGTGTTCCAGACTTCAGGCTGTGATTGACTGCAAAGGATTTGCAACCAAGTATTAAGAAGGGAAAGTTTGATTTATGATTATTATTCTGTCCCATTACTTTTGGTCCCTTAACAAGTGGGAGGCACATATGCAAACTGCTGTAAGTCCTACACCGTTCACCTGAGTTGGATGTACATACCCTCAAATTAAAGCTGACAGTTTGCAGTTAACGCACATTGTGTTTGTTTCATTCCAACTCCATTGTGGTGGTGTATAGAGCCAAAGATGTTAGAATTGTGTCGATGTCCCAATATTTCTGGACCTGACTGTATTTTCCACTTCCAAGCTGTATAAACTTAAATGCTTAATAAATATAAGCAGATCAGGTGATATGTATTTGTATAATGAGGGAGGGTTAGGGTTAAAATACCCTAACCCTAACCTAATACCAATACTGCAGGCTACTTCTGATGACTACTGGATGCTTTCAATTTGGCAGTTTGAATCTCACCGTCTCAAGATTGACTCAGCCTTTCATCCTTCCAAGGCCAGTAAAATGAGGATCCAGATTGTTGGGGGCAATATGCTGACTCTGTTAACCGCTTAGAAAGGGCTTATATACCGCCGTGAAGCAGTATATAAATCTAAGGGCTATTGCTATTGCTATCAAGGTGTGCATAATTATTAGGTAGCTTCTTTTCCTCAGGCAAAATGAGCTTAAAAAGGATTTAACTGACTCTGAAAAGTCAAAAATTGTAAAAAGTATTTCAGAGGGATGCAACACTCTTGGAATTGCTAAGATATGGGGTGTGATCACAGAACATCAAACATTTTGTTGCAAATAGTCAACAGGGTCACGAGAAACATGTTGAGAAAAAAAGATGCACCTTAACTGCCAAAGATTTGAGAAGAATCAAACATGAAGCTATCAGGAACCCATTATTCTCCAGTGCTGTCATATTTCAGAACTGCAGCCTACCTGGCTTGCCCAGAAGTACAAGGTATTCAGTGCTCAGAGACATGGCCAAGGTAAGGAAGGCTGAAATCTGACCACTATTGAAGAAGCTACATAAATTGAAATGGCAAGGCTGGGCCAAGAAATATCTGAAGACAGATTTTTCAAAGGTTTTATGGACTGATGAGATGAGAGTGACTCTTGACTGACCAGATAGAACACTTAGCTTTCTGGGAAAGGTTCTAATGCTGGTAATGGAAGGTGAGGAAAAAAACAGCAAAGAGGACAACCAGAAAAAGATTTCAGTGGTGATAAGTCCACAGTTGAAAGTTCTGAAAGACCAAATTATGTATAGATCATCATAGAAAAAATATGGTCACCAGGAGTTGAAAATGATTTGATGGCACATCAATCAATGAATAATATGCATATATCTTTTAATACATATTTTAAATTATAATTATAGCTTATAATTTGCATCCAACAGTGTTTGTCTGCTGCAGCAAGCACTTATTTGTCTTTTTCAATGGAACACCTAACATGAAAAATATATAACTTTGGTACAGCAAATTTGAAGTGATCATCTATAAAAGAAAAAAACAAAGTATGTCAAACTGTAAAGGCAGAACTCTCATATTTATTTGCTTTGATGTCTAAAATAATCCTATATATTCAAAGCTAAATATTATATAATGTTCATAGAATTTATAAACTTAAATTCTTTAGGGAAGATGCTAAAGTACCTAAAGATGAACAAAGCCAAGATTTAAGGTGTGCTTAAATTTCTAAGCATAGAACAATGGTAGTTCTACAGTTCTGGTTTAATTTTATATTTCTTTCATAGACCAGAACATATAACATTGATATATAGACCAATGGGATGATATTTATGCTAACAAGTTCAAAATATGTCATTTAACTGTTGATCATTCAAACATAGGATATATGTATATTGAAATGTCTTATTGGGTATGCATATACAATATGCTATAAAGCCTACTTCTTCAAATAGTACCTCAAGATTTTTCAAATATTGTACATTAGTAGTGTAATAATTTAGGCTCCTGAAAACTGTTCATAATTCACAACTGCTTCACTAACTTTAAAGGATGCAAATTAAGGAATTATTTGGAGGGAGGGTGGCAGTTTTGCTGAAAAGCATGACAGCGGAATAAATCATGCAATTTGGTCACAGCTACATGTTGCCTTGAACACAATATTAAAGCCAACGTTTTCTACAAGAAAAGCTGTGACTGATATTTTATTTCCCATGTGTGTCATATCAAAGCATATAGGATGTCGTACTAGACACCTGTCATTTGTATAGAGTCCTTGAAGATTTTAGGTGCCAACATGTAGCTGAGAGTGATTAATGAACTGTTCAGGGTCCCAGAATAATGGCCTGCTATAGGATTGCCAGATATCTTGACCCTAATAAAACTGCTCATGTCATATACTCAAGATTCTAAAGATTTATACTCCAGATACTTTGTGATTATTTGAGCCTCATCCACACTTCTGCATGCAGTCACAGGGGGTACAATATCTGTTACAGTAAGAAAAGGTATTAGAAAATTCCATATATAACAGTCTTTTTTTCCTTTCTTTTTTTCAGCTCTGTTCATCGCTCAAAGTGGATGAATACTATGAATATGAATATCAGGCACAGCCCATAGGCTTGAAAGGATGCATTTAGCCACATAAGGTAATAGTCCACAGATCTAAAATAATGACTTTACTCTGTCTGCCATATCATAATTTCCAAACACAGCCATGTTTTAACAATGACATCTACTCCTTTTTTCAAACAGCAAAAATTTTATAGAAATTGTCCATAGTAGCCCATCACTATGGACAAATCTATTTTTTAATGATTGATTGAAAAATTGGAAATTCACCAAGTAAGTCATACTTAAGCTTCTTTTTTCTCAAAAGAAAAGAAGAAAAGGAAGAGGAAGAGGAAAGAAAAGAAAAGAAAAAAGAAAAGAAAGATACTTTTTATACTCATACTTTTAACTGATTTCAATTTCTTCCCGGTTCTTTGTTCTTATGCTGTAACTTTCATACATGGAGATTTCCCATGTACTTCAAAGAGTAAAATAAAGAGAATTAAATTCTAAACCAATAGAATGAGCTACATACATCATTTCAAAATATAGATGAAGGATTGAAGGGATTCATTATTAAAAGGTATTGATATAAAAGGTTCATTAACCCCCTTTTCATTTTGCCACTTTTCCTCTTCAATGTTGTTATGATGCAAGGTGATTTTAAAAATATAGCATTTCCTTGCAACTGTAATTTGGAATAGTGCAATCATATTGTACCATACTTCAAACTGTTCTAGTTCATTTCATTTCATTCTGCCTCTTTAGTATGTTTTTAACAGCATTGAAAAACCTCACATTTGCCCATCCTGAGTGTTTTAATAAATAATTCTATATTAAGTGATATGGACTAGGGATATTGCAAAATTTTATTTGGTCCACATTTTTAGAAGGACTGACATAATGCAATTTATAGAATTCAACTATTCTTTGGAATCCACATTTCCGCAAATTGTCTGGGGAATATCTCAATTCAAATCAAGCATTTTAATAAAAAAATGTTATGAACAGTTGTGTATAAAATCAATACAAATTTTCCTAAGGCATTTTAAAATTTTACTGAACTGCTCCTACCTATGTATTGCAGACTTAGCCAATATCCAAAGCAGAAATTGTCTGGATTTGAACTGTTATATGTAGACCCATGTTTTGTATTCTAAATATAATTAATTTTAACTGTCATGGATTGATGAATTTTAAAAATAGGGTGGCTTTTGTTATATGAGAATTAGAACTATGTCAGAGAGTTTTAAAGATTTTGGGTGGGAGAGTCACATTCCAAAAACATAGAAAGAGGCAGAAACCAGTACAATGACAAAAAAGCAAATGCTAATATATATAATTTCATTTTCTTGAATTTTGTTTTTCTTTTTTTACATACTAGTTGTATTGGAACAATTTATCAATTTATAGTAATGTTTTCAGTATGAATATGAGTACATTTTAATGTGTTTCTTAAATAATCTAAATGTTTTTTTAACAGTTTCATTTGTACAGTATTGAAATCAATCTCAGATAACATGTAAATATTTTGACTGCTAATTTATCATTTTTATTTTTGGTATATATCCAAGATTTTAAAACCTTTAAAAAAAAAAGTTTTATGTATTTAGACTTTGGTTTATTTTCTTCATTTTGCTTTTGGCTCTTAATTTCAACTGTTTTGTTTGTAAAAACTTCTGGATTTGATCCTAGATAGAATAGGAATGGTTGTGTATTGATTCTTTCTTGCTGCTTTAGCATAATTTGAGCACAGACTTTAAGCTTCCTGCCCAATAAGTAATGTCAATTATCCTTGGTTTAAAATGAGCTCTATTCTTCAATAAAATAAATACAAAAAACATGTAGCCAATATGTATTCATAAGTAATGAAAAAATTGATATGTAGCACACAATAATAGAGAAGATGACTAGATACTTTAGGCACAGCTACTAAACTATGTTATCTGATGATAACCCATTGTTAACTGAGCACATTTAACCTATTATAAAATGAAATAATTTTAGTATTCCTAAAGTACTTTTTTTTAAAAAAAGGTAATTAAAAATATGTTTTCCTTCTGAGTTTTACAGCAAGCAACAAATATATAATATATATATAATCCCATTGTATTAGAAAGGATATTTTGTTTATTTGTTGTTGGATTGTTTATTTATTAATGCAATTCTACGGCCAATGACCAATGCAAGAAACTCTGGACAGCAAAAAAAACAAAGGAACAAAACAAAACAAAGCAAAACAACTAAAATTGTACTCAATAAAAACACGAAGTCATTAATTACATATACCCATGCATCAGTGGTGGGTTGCTCCTGGTTCGCATCGGTTCGCAAGAACCGGTAGTAAAAATTTGTAGTAGTTCAGAGAACCGGTAATAACATTGGCTGGCCACATCCCTGAACCAGTCCCTAGCCCGGTCGCCACTCACTTACCCTGCCCACATCATCAGGGGCTTTTTTTTTTTTTTTTTTTTACTTTTAAAAGCATTTTTTCTACAAATTCTTCGGCCAAACAAAATGCTTTTAAAAGTAAAAAAAAGCCCCTGATGATCACGCGGTTCAGCTGGGATCGTCAGAGGTGTCTGAAAGCATTTTTTCTACAACCTCTTTGGCCTCTTTGGCCGAAGAGGTTGTAGGGGAAAAAATGCCTTTAAAAGCCTCTGGCGATCCCAGCTGAGTTTCCTGATCGTCAGAGGCTTCTAAAAGCATTTTTTCCAACCTCTTAAGGTTGTAGAAAAAATGCTTTTAAAAGTAAAAAAAAAAGTTGGCCATGCCCACCCAGTCACATTACCCCCCACCAAGCCTGGCCCACAAAATAAGCCATGCCCACAGAACTGGTAGTTAAAAAAATTTAGAACCCACCCCTGCCATGCATGTTCTCTTAAACATCTCAATCCCAATACCTGGGAGAATCCTTCCATAATATAAAGTACTAGACAAGGGTACCATGGGCAGATCAAGCTAGTTTGTAAAGCCCAGATAAATTTATTAGCTTGAAAGTTTCAGTTTCTTTTTTTAACTGAATATTGCATACTACAAATTCTATGTAGCTTCTTAAAATGTTTTTCCACAGAACCATGATCACATATCCCCTTTTGTGGAAAATGCCTACACTTGCTCCTATAATGCATTATTTTACAAGCAGAATGATATAATGCATTCTTATACATTACTTTCTACTGTTAAGTTTTTGCATGTAAAATTCTTCAGTCTTGGTATCAGAGAGCAACTGCATTTCAGTTCACTTATTGATTCAAAAACTGTGCAACTATCCATATTCAAAGCAAATGAAATTGTCTCCCACATACAGAATGTATGTTGTAATTTTCCATGGCAAGTTTATATAACTGCAGTACTTCTGACATGCTCATTTTACTTCTGTAGCCAAGTAAAATTGGAAGAAAGCACAGTTTGTAATGTATGCAAAACACATTTCTCTCTAATTAAATAATGGCTAATAAAGTGTCAAGCATAATGTATGGTGCTTTTTAAAACATTACACTTATGGTATTACTTGACTCACAGATGCATTATGGTGCTGTTGTGAATATTTCTGCAAGCAATAACATTAGCTTTACCAATAGTCCATATGCTTCATGCATACTTTGTGACTTCTCAATTTTGGAAGAAGGAGTATTATGAGTAGTCATGTTCACATACAGAAATTTTCAGGCTTTCTTTATAGGTGACTTCCTTCGATGAAGCCTTTGATGGTATTGAGTAGGCTCAGTCTTAGCAGATGATGGCAATGGACAGCTTGCTTCTCCTAGGGACAGGACATGGGGACTTGAAGAGTTTTTAATTCCAGCTCAGTTTGGTGATCAAGATGTTGGCAGCTTGTGAAGAAATTTGACAACAGCTTAGGAAACCTAGAGCCTTTTAATGTAGGAATATTATTAGAATTTTCTAAGATTTATTTCCTTAATTTACTTCTAGAGAGGTAGTTAACAATCTAAACTAAGATAGATTTAAAATAAGTAAAATTTGCTAAAATTATAATTATTGAGCTTATTGAAGAGGAGGATAACAGAATAATAGAATTGGAAGGTCCTATTCACATGAGAATGTCATCTGAGAGAAGAAGACAGTCTTTTCTGCTGCAGTACTTGACTTTTGGAACAACATCCCCCCCCACCCACCATGGTTAAACTGGCCCTCTCCTTGTTGACTTTCTGGAAAGCCCAAACATACGGCTTTGCCACCTTACCTGGGGATCCACATTAGTGGAGAGCCTGCTTATTATGAGTATCTTAATACTTTTAAGAATATTAATGGGGTTCTCCTGCATATTGTTGTTGTTTTTATGATAATTGCTTTCAGAAGTTGTAGGTGCTCCATCACTGGAGGCTTTTAAGAAGAGATTGGACAGCCACTTGTCTGGAATGGAATAGGGTCTCCTACTTAAGCAGGGAGTTGGATTGGAAAACCTCCAAGATCTCTTCCAACTCTGTTATTCTGTTATAATATGTGTGTGTGTGTTTAATGCATTTTTTTTTGGATGTTTAACTTTTTTTTTAAAAAAAGAAAAGAAAAGTCATGCCTACATTTTCAGAACATTATAGTGCCTTGTTGGGCCCTGGAATATGGGAAAATGTTGTTTTGCATTATTTCTTTTTCATTTTTCATGTTGCCTCTCTTTTCCCACCTTTGTAATGTTTTGGGCAAATGTTAGATGCTGCTTGAAATGAGTGTGGCAAAATCATTACATAATTGTTTTCCAATATATTGGGTATAATTCTCTCCACTTAAAAAGTTAGAAAAGGGTTCATAAAACAAACCATAGGAATGATCTCCATTTATATTTGCTCTCCACTTATATTCCTTTTCTCAATTGTCCAATCATTTTTCCTTACCCCTGCATCAATGATTCTTTCTTCTGAAAATTATTGGCACTATTTCATCACAGCAATATACATAAACTTGCTTATATGTAATACTGATTTTTATATGTTTCATGTGAAGAGAAGATAAAGTTACTCTTTATTTCTTTGTTTTCTTATTTTCCTACTCCTCTGATAGGGTGAATTATATTGTGGCCCTAGGATCATATTCCTCCAAGTTTCTCTATTTTTCATTTAGCATCTTGATTATTATACAT